ATCAATGGCTCGATGTCAGGATGGCGGTCGGTTTCTAGCGGAGGGCCCCAAAGTTCGGTTCTAGGACCGGTTTTGTTCAATATCTTTATTAATGATCTGGATGAGGGGATGGATTGCACCCTCAGCAAGTTTGCGGATGACACTAAGCTGGGGGGAGAGGTAGATGCGCTTAAGGGCAGAGATAGGGTACAGAATGACTTAGACAAATTGGGGGATTGGGCCACAAGAAATCTGATGAGGTTCAACAAGGACAAGTGTAGAGTCCTGCACTTGGGACGGAAGAATCCCAAGCATAGTTACAGGCTGGGGACCAACCAGTTAAGTAGTAGTTCTGCAGAAAAGGACCTGGGGGTTACAGTGGATGAGGAGCTGGATATGAGTCAACAGTGTGCCCTTGTAGCCAAGAAGGCTAATGGCATATTACCCATTACCCATATAAGTTGCATTAAGAGGAGCATTGCCAGCAAATCCAGAGATGTCATCATTCCCCTTTATTCGGCTTTGGTGAGGCCGCATCTGGAGTATTGTGTCCAGCTCTGGGCCCCCCACTACAAAAAGGATGTGGACGCATTGGAGAGGGTCCAGCGGAGGGCAACCAAAATGATTAGGGGGCTGGAGCATATGACTTATGAGGAGAGGCTGAGGGACTTGGGTCTGTTTAGTCTGCAGAAATGAAGAGTGAGGGGGGATTTGATAGCAGCCTTCAACTTCCTGAAGGGAGGTTCCAAAGAGGATGGAGAGAGGCTGTTCTCAGTAGTGACAGATGGCAGAACAAGGAGCAATGGTCTCAAGTTGTGGTGGGAGAGGTCCAGGTTGGATATTAGGAAAAACTATTTCACTAGGAGGGTGGTGAAGCACTGGAATGGGTTACCTATGGAAGTAGTGGAGTCTCCATCCCTAGAGGTGTTTAAGTCTCGGCTTGACAAAGCCCTGGTCGGGTTGATTTAGTTGGAATTGGTCCTGCCTAGAGCAGGGGGCTGGACTTGATGACCTTCTGAGGTCTCTTCCAGTTCTATGATTCTAAGATCAAACCCTAAAATCTTGCTCATGGTTTTGCCACAGATCTCAGTAGAAGTAGGACAGGGTCCAATATTTGCCAGAAACAAAAATATGAGAACTCTGCCCAGAACTGGATAGTCATCCAGAGAACGGACATAACAAAACAGAATGCAATACAGTATCAAACATCCAGCCTTTATAATATACAGAAGCGTACCCTCATTAAATTAGAAAATGTCTTGTAAATAAAATGAGAATTTAGAGAAAGGTTTTCAAGTAGGTAAGCACCTAATTCTCATTTACTCTCAACAGAAGTTGGGTGCCTTCAGACACCTTTTAAAATCCAACCCTTAGCCTTTAATCTAGAGAGCCTCACACAACTTCAGATAAACACAATTTAGCCATTAGTTAACTTAAAATAGTTTTTATTTAATATCTTCTTGCCTGTTGACACTAGTATAAACATTTATAATGAGGGACAAAATAGTAAGACATATTTTCCATAACATATTATATCTGTTTAAGTCCTTTTAAGCAGTGTAAAAATGCTTCTTTCATTAGTGAGTGCAGTGGTTCTTGAAAAGGTATTTTACTAAGTTATTGCAAAATCTTATGTGAATACCAGGTTAAAACCAAAATGATCCCTATCCACTATAATCAAAATTATAGTATATCCCAAATGAAATCAACAAATGCCTATAATATGTCTACCCGGTGTCTACATCATGCCATTCAAGCAATATTAAAAATTATTGTGAAGATTACAAATTTGTTGACTTTCATAGTTGGAAAACGTATACATAAGGTCAGTACACATTTCCAAAGACCTCTAAAGGACTATAGAAAAATGAATTCTGTTAAATTTAATGAGAGGGCACCGTGTCAGTTTCAAATGCACACGACAATTGAGACACTTCTGAGGCATTCTGTCCAGGTCAAGCTAGAGATACATTTGAATGCAGTGTGAATATGCTTGCATTATTGGCTGTCCAGACTCTGCAGGGCCATGGTGTCTAACCAGTTCTGAAGCAGTACCCACTAAAGGGAACTAGCCACACTCAACAGGCCAGATAGCCACACGTGGCCAGCATGGTGGACATCACGGATGCAGGGGATAAACAGATGACCTCCAAGGCTGTCAAGCCAGCACCTTTTTATAAACATTAAATTCACATAAAGCTCAAAGGCCCAATCCTGAAAACACGTCCATGCAAGAGTAACCCTACTGAGTTCACCTGCTTAAAACTAAGTACTGTATGCATCTAAGGCTCCAGCCCAGCTACTGGTCTATATATGTGGACCCCTAAGCTTATGCCGAGTTCTTTGGATTTCTGTGGGGCTGTAGGGCAGCCCACGGATCTAACTGCATGTATTCAGCTGCCGGCTCAAGTTCCTATATGTATTTTAAAGCCTTTAAGATGGTCTCACATTTTGCCCTTCCAATTAACCCTGGACACGAAACTATTTAACTATTTGCCTGTGAGCACAAACAAGCTACATGGTTAACTCTAACCACTTTGATTTGCAAGTGTGGACACAAAAATGCACATGCAGCATCTTTAAAAGTCTGACCCACAATTTTTTTTTAAGAATGTCTACAAAAGTATAGAAGTGAGACTATTAAGTTCTCTGAATTACAACAGATATAAATGAAGCTCTTCGTTGTGGGTCATATGCGTGAAAAGCACCTTGCCAGAGGAGGCTGTGAAGGCTAGGACTATAATAGAGTTTAAAGAGAAGCTAGATAATTTCATGGAGGTTAGGTCCATAAAAGGCTATTAGCCGGGGATAAAATGGTGTCCTTGGCCTCTGTTTGTCAGAGGCTGGAGAGGGATGGCAGGAGACAAATCGCTTGATCATTGTCTTCGGTCCACCCTCTCTGGGGCACCTGGTGCTGGCCACTGTCGGCAGACAGGCTACTGGGCTAGAAGGACCTTTGGTCTGACCCAGTAGGGCCGTTCTTATGTTCTTAGTCTCCTTGCACTTACTGGGATTTTTGTGCTGGCCACATTTACCAGCAGTTTTTCCACCCAGAAGAGCTTCATTGATACCAGCTGTTCCGCAGAGGACTCAGTAACAATTGTAATGTGAAAGGGCCAGATTCTTCAAGCACACAGTGGCTCCTTTCATCGCCTGTAGCTTCAGGCCCTGGGTGTGGTTGGTTTGATTTTATTTACTTATTTTTCCTTCCCCTGCCTGGGTAGCGTTCGTTAAAGCTCTTTTAAACACACACACACACACACACACAAACTCCAACTAACTGCGCCTTAAACTTTGTTTCCCTCCCTCTTTCAGTTCAAGCTGAAACCCAGCAGTCGCCCCAGAGCAAAGGCAAACCCTTCCCATTCCAATCACTCGGGATCCAGGGGAGAGGGCGGATGGAAAACCACAGGCTGTGCCGCGTAAAGTGGACAGGCTGCAGCCCACGGCTGGCTGCAGAAGTGGGGCCACGGGCGGGCTGTTTTTCTGCGCCCTGGATGAAGTCATGCCTGAGCTATGGCATTCCACTGCGGCGGCGGCAGGAGGGGATCTGGAGGGCCGGTTCCTGCTGCTCCCGCTGCAGGCAAAGGCGCCTCCCCCCCGCCCGGCTCCGGGACTCGTCTCCTCGCTGGGGAGGGGACTAGGGAGCGCGCGTGGCACGAAGCGGAGCGAGGCCGGAGTGGGCCGCCTTTCGCCTCCCACTGGGTGGGGAGCGGGAGCCTTTAAGAGAGGCGGAGGCGGAGGCGCGTGGGGCAGAGCGTGGCCAGGAGGGACCCGGGCAGGAGCGCAGCAGAGGAGGCCGGGGGGAGCTCCCCGCCATGGGGGAGGACGGGGTGCAGGCCGAGCGCAGCGGCGCCCAGGCTCTGCCCAGCTCCGAGGAGCACAGCCCCAGCCCCAGCCCGCAGCCGGGCGAGGCGCTGCGGGACAGCTCGCAGGTGAACGCCATCACCGTGCTCACCCTGCTGGACAAGCTGGTGAACATGCTGGACGCGGTGCAGGAGAAGCAGCACAAGATGGAGCAGCGGCAGATCGAGCTGGAGGGCTCGGTGAAGGGCATCCAGAGCGACCTGAGCAAGCTGTGCAAGCACCACGCCTCCACCAGCAACGCGGTCAGCAAGCTGCTGGAGAAGTCGCGCAAGGTCAGCGCGCACACCCGCGAGGTGCGCGAGCGCATGGAGCGCCAGTGCGCGCAGGTCAAGCGGCTGGAGAGCAACCACGCGCAGCTGCTGCGCCGTAACCACTTCAAGGTGCTCATCTTCCAGGTCAGTCCTGCAGCAGCCTGGGCCCCTTAACTTCCAGGGCCCTTTATCCCCCTCCCCTTCGCCACTCTGCTCAACGTGGCCAAGCTCTTCCTTCCTCCCTCTCTGGCCTTGAGGGCAGACCCATGGCAAGGCACAGGTGGTTGGAGGCCCCCCTCTATCCACTGCTTGGCCCCCTGCAACACCCCCTCTCCTCTTTTTCTCCCACAGTCGCTCCCTGCCAGGGCTCTCCAAGGTGGGGCCTCTTTGCACTGCTCAGGGCCAATATGCAGAGGAGCTCAGTTCCCTTCGCTCCCTGGGGAGAAATGGCACAGAGCTGCACAAAAGTTGTCACTTGTATGCCAGGCATGGACATTCCAGAAGGGCAGTTAGCGAACAGACCAGTTCTTCACCCTTGTGCATTGCATGAGCTTCCCCATAGCCCTGCATTTTCCAAATACCACGCCCTGCAGCTCTGAAGTAAGAGGGAGCACACCCTATTGAATTAAATTTGTGCACCTTGCATGATTCCCCTTGGCGTCACGTGCCTTTGCCCGATCAATGCTGCTAGTGATGGCCCACAGAAGACACTTGGCTTTCTCCTGGAACGACGCTGGTTCATTTCTATCTTTCTGAGGCCGCATTCAGGGAGTGCTCAGATTCATTATCTGTGTAGAACACATGTCCTGTTTACATGGATCCAAATATTTTCCAGAGAAAGTGCTGTGCTGAACAGTTCTTATTTCCCTGATACAACACATGCATTTCTTCCGAGAAGTATATAGTCTCTGTCACTAATGTTGGTGCTTAACTAGCAAGAACACTCTGATTTGCTAACCCATGAAAGTTCAGTGCTCTTTATAGATACATTTTGCATCTTAATGCCACACTCGCACAAGTCACAGATTCATTACCGTTCTGCAATACCACTACATTATGCATTTCATATCAAAATAACAAGCACCAACACAGTGAGTGTGCACACATTCATGGCTAATAAGTCTGTGTGTTTTAACATGTACAGTTTGTAACAAAAGCATGCAACACTTAATAAATCACGCACAGAAAACTCTGTTTCACCAACCTCTTCATATTCCCTTCCCCACAGGATGTTGAAAGGAAAGGAATCCATTATGGTTGCTATGCTTTCATTGCCGTGTACGGGGAACTTGTGAAACTTTTAGAGCGATCACATAATGCAGTCTTTAACTCTTTGAGATCACTGCTGGGAAAAAGTAACCTGTCCATTTTGAAGAAGTAGAACACTTTTGCCCTCAACAAAATGCTAACTTTGATTTTTAGGTCTGCCCCAGCGATCAGTGATCTATTAAAAACAGAGTTGTAAAACTTAGCTTTGTGTTTATCAGTCTTATAATATGAATGAACAGTTTGCATATGTTCTCCTTTTTAAGCAATGATGTAGATTGAACACATCATGAATTTTAACCAAGTACGGGATGTGGCCTTTTACTTCTAAAAAGTGTCACTGAAATTTTGAGAGGGGTAGCCGAGTTAGACTGTAACAGGAAAAACTTAAAAAACAACAAATAGTTTTTAAAGTGCTACTAAACTAACAAAACATGTAGATGGTCATCTGAAGAAGTGGGCTGTGCCCAGGAAAGCTCATGATACCATCTACATGTTTTGTTAGTCTTTAAAGTGCTACTAAACTATTTGTTGTACTGAAATTTTGTTGCCGGAAAATCCCTTTAGACTTCAGCTAGTAAAAGATGTAATTTTACATTTTATCCTGGTAAAAAGTGGACTCTATAATTTAACATTTTATGTATCGGGATTTAAAGATTTGGCGGTCTTGATTAATCCATTCCCTTGGGGTCTTTCCTAAGGTTGTGCAAATTCCTAACTTGCTGCTGCTTATTCTATTAAAGCTGCAAAGCAGTATTTTAAGGACAGATGAGGAAGAGATCGTGGCACATATAGGGCTTTTGTAGTCCATTGTTGTTTCTACTTCAAAAGCAATTAAAAAGCTGTCTATGTACCAGATGTATTGAGATGCAGAATCTGACTTTCTGAAAAAAACCCTTAAGATATTTTATTGAAATTTAAAATAGTCCTCTCAGGTATCAGATACCAAAAGATGAGATTGCGCTACGGAATTTAGATTTAAAGCTATAAACTGTGGTGGGGTTGGCTCTAATGTTTGTTCATTTGATTCAGATGTTTTATTATTTATATTAAAGTAGGATTCAGAGACTGCCATCAGAATCAGGGCCTTTTTATACTAGAGGCTATGCAATTGGTTGGGCATTCTAGGATTATGAAAAGACATGACAGAAATAGACAAGGGTGGGAGAGAGCGAGAGTCTCGGTTCAGTACTTACCTTGCTCTGCACAACTGGTGGTGCTTTGTAGGCACCATCTTAGAGGTCAGGCATGGGGGAGTTGCAAGAGGACAAGGCAGTAGCTTAAGAGGAGGTATTTATCTGGGCCCTTCTTTAATACCAGGTTCCAAAATGCATTATTGGTCACAAAGGCAAACCAAACAATGGAGGCTTCTATAATTCCATGTGTCACTTTGGACACACCTTTGTACAGAAGGGGCTAAGGAGGTTCTATCCTAATCTAGTCCAAGTATACAGTGGACCCAGTTCTCCTCTAACTTCATGAGCCAATCCCTGTTTGACACTAGTGTGAAAAGCGGGTGTAAATAAAGGCCATATCCCCAATTCTCCTTTTATTTAGCCAAGAATAAAAATCACATTTAATTTCAGTAAGGGTACGTCTACACTAGCCCCCTAGCTCAAACTAAGGAGGCTAATGAGGGCGACCGAAATTGCAAATGAAGCGCGGGATTTAAATATCCTGCACTTCATTAGCATGTTCCTGGCCAGTCGCCATTTTTTGAAACTGACTAGCCCTGAATAACTGCCAGCGTCTACATGCGGCAGAGAAGCACGATTCTGAGATAAACCCCTTAGTTCTAATTAACAGTTAAACCTCATTTGCCTGGGGAGGGCAGGGTGGTGGGTTTGAGTCTTGAGTCCCCTGCCCCGCCCCATGGTCAGGCAGGATAAAGCACGTCCTGAGAGGAAGGCAATGGGGCAGATTGCGGCGTGGCCTAGCTGATAGGGTAGGTTTAACTGTTAATTCCATGAGGTTTAACTGTTAATTCGAACTAAGGGGTTTATCTCATAATCGTGCTTCTCTGCCACGTGTAGACGTGAGCAGTTATTCTGGGTTAGTCAGTTTCCGAAATGGCGACTGGCCAGGAACATGCTAATATTTAAATCCCGCGCTTCATTTGCAATTTCGGTCGCCCTCATTAGCCTCCCTAGTTCGAACTAGGGGGCTAGTGTAGACGTACCCAGAATGTATTGCCAAGTGAATAGAGAGACCAGGGAGGTGAGGTAATACTTTATATTAGACCTTGTGCTGGTGGAAGGCATAAGCTTTTGAGCTTCACCAACACTTCTTCAGATCTGGGGAAGTAACTAGTGTGAATAAGCTAAATACAAAGTGGGACTCTCATAGGACCTGAAGGAGACCACTTCAATTGAAGAGGGCAATTGAGGGCTAGATTGATAAGCACAGGAGTTCATTCTACATCTGACCTCTCAAGCCATCTCATCCAAGGAAACCAGCACAACATGAGTTTGAGGACTGAAATTCATTGACACTAAAATTGCGATAAGTACTAAAAACCATGGACTTAACAGAAGCCATGGTCTTATGCTTTATTACAGTACCTTGTAACACACACAACTGCCTGCTCACCTTTAATTGCCCACTTTATTTTAAGTGGTCTTTTACACCATGTGAACCTCACATGCACTGGCTATGTTTCCCAGATCAGAAGAAGAGCTCTGGAAAGCTTGACCCTTCCCCAACAGAAGTTGGTGCAATAAAAATTCCCCCATTTCCCTCTCTCCCTCTCCCCCCCCCCCCCCCCCCCCCCCACCACCCGCCTCTCCCCCATACCGCATTTGCAGAGTCAGGGACAGAAAGAGGAGAAATAACAGGTGGTGAAGAAAGTGCAAAAGAATTTGAGGCATTACTTTTGGTCTTGGCATTTGCCATGCCATTTAGCAAGAAAGTGGGATGATAACACATAGTCTGATGCAGCTGAATTATTTGTTACTTGAATTATTTCTATTGCAATAAGTCATTTTATACTGTATAATAATATTCTTAATACAGTCACTTGTAATTGCTGTGGTTTTTTGTTTGGCTTTTTTTTGGTTACAGGTGCTCTAATTCCCAGCATACTTCAGAGATGCCATGGAGCAATCATGTTAAATCAGTGTCTACTTAATTCTCTCACACATTGGCTGTGTCTACACTGGCATGAATTTCCGGAAATGCTTAAAACGGAATACTATTCTGTTTTCAGTTTTTCCGGAAAAGGAGCGTCTATATTGGCAGTCTGCTTTTCCGGAAAAGCCCTTTTTCCAGAAAAGCGTCTGTGGCCAATGTAGACGCGCTTTTCCGAAAAAGACTACTGGGCTGTCTACACTGGCCCTTTTCCGGAACAGTGTTCCGGAATAAGGACTTATGCCCGAGCGGGAGCAGAATAGTTTTTCTGGAATAGTGGCTGATTTTGTACCATAGAGCATCGTTGCTTTTCTGGAAATTCAAGTGCCAGTGTAGACAGCTCGCAGCTTATTCCGGAAAAGCGGCTGATTTTCCGGAATAAGTGGCCCAGTGTAGACACAGCCCTTGGCTCTTTTGTGTCCTGAGACCAACACAGCTACAAAAATATTGCTATACTTCCTGAATAACACAAACCAGCTGTGAAACTGAGAAACATGGTTGTCTGGTGTAAGGATGTTAAATTGCAGTTATCTGGCTGGTCGTGTAGCCGATTAATTGTGTAGTTGATACAAATTGTATCAATAAGGACTGTTCTGCAGAACTGCAGCGGGGGTAGCTCCAGGAGCTGGCTTGAGCCAGGACTTAGCAGTCCCAGCTAGGGCTGGCTCCGAGAGCCACCGGCGCTGCGGCTGTGCATTTTAAATGTAGTAAGAGCTATCGGGCTCTTACTACATTTAAAATGCAGAGGCACAGCCTCCCAGACCAGCATGAGCTGGGAGTTCATGAGCCGGTCCTGGTTCACACTGAGTCTAGCAGCCTCTGGACTGGAGCAGCCTCTGTTGGCAGCAGACAGGGCTGGCCGCCCCATCCCTGGCCACCACGAACAAAGGCTGCTCTGGCACCAGCCCCTGTTCATGGTGGCCAGGACTGGCAGTGGCCAGGAGCTACTCTGGCTGCAGCCCCTGCGTGCAGCCAGCCTGGGCCACTGCAAATGGGCTGAGGGGTAGCAACCACAGACAAGGGCTGCTTTGCAGCAGCCACCCCCGGCTGCCTCTGATAGAGGCTGCAAAGGGGCGGGGAGCAAGTAGTCGATAGTCCAGGCAACTACCAGGTGATCAACTACTCGCTAACATCCCTAGTCTGGTGGACTGAGGAGGATTTGAGAGGCTGATGTGAAATAGCTATTTGGGGTGGTTGGAATTCTCTCTTAGGAGTTAAGGTGGGAGGGGCTGGGATTTTCCACCCCAGAGGCTGTGCTGTTCTCTTTGCCAGTTTGTATTCAGCTCAAGGGAACAAACTGACCACACCCTGGCACAGATCCCGATCTTGGCCATGATGCTTCTGCATAAGCCTGCAAACAACTGTGTTACCTGTCTGTAGCTCTCCACACAAGCGGCAGGGTCTCTTTTTTAATAGATGTTCACTAAGGAAAAGACCCATTAGGCCTGTAGGCTGTCCCTCTCCCCCCAGCAAAATAATTTTGTTTACGTTTTGTTTTCCACCACTTAAAACCAAGTTTAACACAAACACAGATTTGGGACTCAATTCAACATTTGGATTTGCTGCCTGTTATTTTAACAGAAGCATTGGGTGTGTAAGGAAGTCACAATTGATCACAGGGTTTGTATTTTCTGAGGACAGGCTGTGACTTGTTAACATCCGATTTCCTTCAGTGTATACACTCAATATGAAATCACATTTAGAAAATTATCAATTGGCATATTTTGTAACTAGACTCTATTGTTTCTAGTTTGTATACCTTTTCCATTGATGTCATATTTTTAACGTTACATCTAAACATGTAAGGCTTTAAAAATTATTACAAATACCATAAATGGTGCAACAGTCTAAAACACTGGAGTGACTGTTTTTAAATCCTTGTTAAGCTTTGGCATTGTTCCTGTCTGTTTTGTTGTAACCGCATGACCAGCATGATTTTGGACTGAGTGGTTTCAGAACAAATTTCATGCTGTCATACATGCACTAAGATACAGTGAAAGGTGTCATAGTAAAATCCAAAATACAGAGGAATGCAGGCTGGTGGTTCAATAAAATATCTCATTTACAGTTGGATGGCACAGAAAAGTATGCTAAGTTATAGCCAAGCATCAGTAAAATTCATATTCAAACCCCTTTCAGTCACTGCAGTTAGTGAATATTTTATCCTGAAATAAAGTGAGCAGAAGAAAGCCACAGGAAATTAACGTCGTGTTTGCAGTTTGTTGAATCAATCAGCATAACAAATAGCCTTCTGAAAAAGCACCTTTATGTTCAACAGTAAAAAAGCAAAGAATGAAAGGGACAATAAGCAAGCCACAGGTGATATGCTGAAAACTATTAACTTATTAGAAAACTTGCCTCCGCAACCTCCTGCTTTGTCCTCTGCACACATCCGTCTACAAACTCAAAGAGCAGGTGCGGCCTGAGAAAAAGTGGAAGGAATTAAGGCAGCAGCAAACTTATTTGTGACCAATCTACTCTGCATTTGGTAAAACATTCCTTTGGAATATTAGATGAGTCAGCGTCCAACCACTCTCTGGAAAGTAAAAAGGGAGGGGAGCCTGATAGTTCTCTTCTGCATGTGACATGTCCTCTTATCACATAGTCTAATCTCTATTTAACATATCTTCCCCAACACAGTGCTTGCAGTGGTGATTATAACTGGTAGGTGATTTTAAAAAAATCACTGTTCTAAATACTCCGGTGGTTCAGTTTTTATAGTCCATTGTTATGAGAGGTCTTTCTATACCTTTTATTACAAAGGAGAAATATATATCCCCATAAACAAGAGCCCCAAAACTTATTGCGGAAAACCTCTATGCTAATCAAGGACTCGATCTTGCAGAGACTACTCAGGTCAAATTCCTGTTGATATCAGTGGAAGTTCCACATCCATGGAGCACTTGCAAGATTGTACCCCAGCTGAGGATATTAGAACAGAATACAGAAAGGTCACTTATTAGCTGTGTATAGTAATTACTCTTCTGGAAAAATGCAAGCCTTATTTTAGCCTTCAGAAGATAGTTGATGGGATCAAATTAATATTTTTCTTCCATCTCAGAATTTGTTCACGTGTCTCCTGTTTTTCCTCCAATCTAAAAAATAAGATGCTTAAATTTTATTTGGAAAAACTAATATATAGTGCTTATATGCTGAAATTGTAAGGGTTTTGTTCTCATCCCCTCTGAACTACAATCCAATAACCTACCTAACACAACTGAATGTAGCATAAGAGTTCAGGAGGATGAACTTATTGATGTTATTGATGCCCCATTTATTAACATGGGCCTGAATGTAGCATAAGAGTTCAGGAGGACTTCAGGTAGACTGCAAAGTTATTGATGCCCCATTTATTAACATGCTCATAGTAATGATTTTACAATAGTATTTAGCAGCAAAGCAGATTTCATTCTAGAGATTTGTATTCCATTATAATTTGCATTTTATTGTATCCGCTATCTAAGGATTCAGTTATGCTTTACAAATATGAATGAGCCAAATCTCCACGCTCACACAGAGAGGAAAGTATCTTCATTTTACAGGTGAAAAAAATGGAGGCAGAACGGTTGATTTGCACAGAAAATCTGTGACTGGGGTGAGAATACAAGCCAGACTTCCTGATTTCTTACTCCTGTGCTTTAACCACAAGCACAACCCACCTTTGTTACTTCAGTTTAAATGAACAATTGGTTGGTTATGATGGAGCATTAAGAGGTTATGGATTTTTCTCTCTACTGAAAGGGGTTCTAGACCTCCAAATGATTTTAATATTAAAATACAATTTTATAGCAATGTTTTTAGAATTTGCAGTACTTTGATTTAACAAACAGTTTAGAAATGTTACTGAATTGAACTTGAACAGTGTTGGTTCATCTCTGGTTCAAACTCGGAATATGATCAATTTCATGTGAAACTTTGCAATATTAAGATTCCACTCATCCTTACCCAGACAGAACTCCCATTAAAGTCAAAATGAATTCTGTCTGAATAAGGAGGGCAGGACTTGGGACTTTTATATAGTTCAGTTTTTAAAGGAAATCTTGAATAAATCCTAATCGATGTAATTTACAAGCGATCCTTTGAAACCTTGTAGTCTGTTCTATTCATATTCTTATGCCTGAATATTACTGTACAGAATTGTACACAGCTACTAATTGTCCAAATTTGGAAAGAATCTGGACTATTAGGCCAGTAAACTTTTATATTTGATCTCATACTAGATTCTCCAGATAGCTGTTCGGGATCAAATCAGCAGTTGTATCCACTCATATAGTTCATGTTTCAGTAATAAAATTGGAGAACATTATGAACATTTGAATTGCAGTCAGAGCTCTTTGAATAATTAAAACTCCTTTGAAAAATACAGTAAAACTCCATTAGTCCGGCATCCAATGCTCCGGGACTCCTGATGGTGCTGGGGCAGCCGGACAGGCTTTCCCCCCTCCCCACA